ATTCCTGCTTTCTGTGTCCCTCATTTCAACTGGCATGTCACCAGGACACGGGTGAATGAAACAGCTCCCTGGCAGCCCTGAGGAGGGCGCCACATTATCCGCCCCTTTTCCCAGCAGCCGGCCATGTCCAGAGGGAGCTGTCCTTGCCTCTTCCCGCCACGTGCCTGATGTGTATGCGTCAGGGTGTGGTAGGGTGCGACCGAGTCCTCGTCCTTCTGGATGTGTCTGGAGACGCAGCGGTTTGTTAGACGACTCGAGGCACGGCTCGGGTGCAGCGTCTCGGCGGCGGGGCTCCCGGCTGTCTCTGGGGCGTTCTCACTGAGGAGAGCCCATAGAGGGCCAGTGCTGTGGCGTGCCCTCTGCTCAGCCTGGCCTCGGGCACCACCTGATGACGCGTGACCCTGGCATTGTTCAGGACCTCGTCTCTGGCTTCCCGGCTGTGATGGCTTAGCCAGAGGGAGAGCAGGCCTTTGTGGCGGCCCATCTGAGCCCTCCGTGCTCACCGGCTTCTGCCTTGTTTCCTTAGGGCCCCCGTAGGCGGGGCTGGGCCGTCCCGGAGTAACGCAGTCGGAGGGTCTCCACTGGCCAAGGGGATGGCCACGACCATGCATCCTGGTGGTGGAAGCCTGAGCAGCCCAGCCACGGCCACCAGGCCGGCCCTGCCCATCACCACGCCCCAGGCCCACGCCCAGCACCCCACTGCCTCTCCGCCAGCAGGCAGCTGTCTACGGCACCCGGCCCAGCCGGCCGCCAGCCAGGCCCGGAGCTCCACACCAGCAGGTACGTGCACGCGGGGCCGTACCTGCCCGGACAGGCACAGGGTCTGGGGCAGACCACCATCAGAGACCCGTTCCGACTCGGGACGCGGCAGGCCGTGGCAGGGTGTGTAGTGTGTGCTCATCAGACTGCAGACGTTCGCAGGGCTCCGGGAGGGGCACCTGGTGGTCCGCGGTGACAGCCCAAGAGCAGAGACAGCGAGCCTGTGGGTCTCGGTACTTCCCCGCAGCCAGCACAATTAGAGAAGTTACAAACGTGTGCGCTTTCCTTGTGGCAAGGGGGTGGGGCTGTGTGGATGAATAAGAAGATTGGCCCCTTTGGGTGCCTGGCTCAACGGGGCACCTTCGGCGGCCCAGGCACTAGGGTGTCCCAACCTGCAGCTGGCGCTGTGGTCCAGCGTGCCCTTTCCGGATGCTCTGCGGTGGCAGGAATGATGGTCGTGAGCCCCTCACCTTCAGGGTGCCATTACCAGCAGATTATTGTTCCTTCTAAAGCCCCAGAAGGAGGCAGGATGAAAAGAGATTGTGAGGAGGACCTTCAAGGCGTAAAGAAACCAGCACGGGGCTGGCAGGTTAAGGTGCTAGACTCCCACGTGGCTGACCACAGCTCCAGTCCTGGCCCTGGCATCTTGAAAAATCACTCTGGGTACGTGCGCGTGTGCCCAAAATCCCAGGAGGAGAAGGGGTTGTGGCGTGGCCCTCCCCGCAGGGGCTGATTCCTCACTTGCCCTCTTACTGTCTCTCTCTGGTGAGTGTACATGCCCGGCATTAAAGAATAATAATAAACAAAGCACAAAAGAAGGTAAACACGTCCTGCGTGGGAGCTGGAGGCTCAGCGTTGAGCCCGTGAGGACCTGCAGCCTGACTCGCAGGGTGCCCCCGGGGCCCAGGGCACGTCACCATCCAAGCTGCAGCTGGCCATGCCGTCCTGGGCCCCCTCCCCGGCCTCCTAGAAATCCGGCTCTCCTCACCGTGAGGGCAAGAAGCACACAGCCATGAGTGGTCAGAGGCACTGGCTCTTGGCCGGCCCTCCAGAACATGAGCCGTTAGAAGTGGCCCGGAAAGCAGGGCAGGGAGTCGGGCCAGTCCCTGGCAGGGCAGAAGCCGTACCCCCTCGCCAGTCCCTGGCGCAGGGGGGCCCGCCCCCCCCCCCA